ACTAATTGCAAGGTCAGCAGTTCAAAACCACCAGCCACTCCAGGAGAAGACAGGGCTTTCTGCTCCTGTCAGAGTTAGTCTCAGAAACCAAAGGGGCAGTTCTACCCTGTCCTATAGGGTTGTTATGAGTCAGCATCGACTCAATGGCAGTGTGTTTTGGGTCTTTTTATTTTGTTTGTATTTCACACAAAGAGGTAGAAAGAAGAAAATACAAAACAGAGGAATCGAGAGAGGGAAGGTTCCCATCTCATCCATGTCCTTACACTTCCACAACAAAGACCGCCATGGAAGAACTCAGCCCTTGCGGGTTTCCTGGATAAAACCGGCCAGGAAGGGCCTCTGGGCCCTGCAGCAGTGCTCCTGGGCCAGGCTCCGCCCCCTTATCCCTGATGTAGGGACAAGGAGCCCCTTTACCCACATCCTGGGGCCAACAGGTGATCAAATGTCAACAAGACCCAAAGCAGCACATCAGTCCCCACTTTGCATTGCCATCGCAGGCACTAGTGAAAGGGGTCTGCAGGTGGGGGTGGAAGCCACCTGTGTGGAGTGGGCCCTAGAGCCCAGGGCAGCAGGAAGCCCTGCGAGAGTGGTGGGGGCAGAGTCTATGCCGAAAGGTGGGGAAGGGCAGGAAAGATAGGGTGGAAGCCATATCACAGAGGAGTTCTTCGATACAAGCACTCTGGCCAGGACAAGCTACTCACAGCAACCTCTAAGATCCACTCAGATGTTACCCGGATAAGACAGATCAGCACCTCTGCGCTATTCAACCTTGAGGAGGGCGCCCTGCCTTGTCCCTACCAGATAGACTCAGAGTTTGTTAGACTGGTAGACAAACAAATCCCAAGACTCTCCTAGCTCCTTCTTACTTACAAGACCCAGAGAAGGAAGGTGAGTGGAAAATGAAAACTTCTCAACTCCCCGTTCAGCCTGGTACCCACAGCCACCCCCACAGCTTTCTGCATCCTCAGTCAGATAAAAGGTTCACAGATTTGTCCACCTTCACCTCGCCCATGAACTTTACCTCTGGGATTGCTAAGTACACACAGTGTGTGGTTACTACACACATCCATTCACTAATTGTATAAACAGCTGGCAATTGGGGACAGGGCTGTGGATAAAGAAGGTTCAACTGATAAGGGTTATACAACCCCTGAAATTGGGTACTTTGAACTTGGGGGCAACCAGGATTGTAGCCTCCTCGGCCTCTTTAGATAACACAGAGAAATCAGTAATAATTAAAGACACAGGGCCCTATTTGCTAACAAACGAGCACACTTCCTTTTTGCTGTGAGAGTTCTGTGTCACAGATGGAGGGGGCGGGCGGCTGGGGTACAATTGCTCAGTGGAAATGCAGGGCTCTAGAAAGACCAGGTCCCCTCTCTGGGCCTCTGTTTCCTCATCCATAACTTGAAAGGTTTGATCAGAAGCTCCAGGGCTACTTCACCTACAGAAAAAGATGAGCAGAGTCCCTGGGTGGTACACACAGCTCATGCTTTTGGCTGCTAACCAAGAGGTTAGAAGTTCAAATACACCTAAAGGTGCCTCGGAAGAAAGCCCTGGTGATCCACTTCTGGAAAAGAATCAGCCACGGTCAACCATGCTGTGGAGCACTGCCCTACTCTGACAGACTTCAGTCCTCCAAGTCGAAGGCAACTCCATGGCGACTGGGTGCTGTTTGGTTTTGCAACCCTGGGACACATGCTGCTGCCCTCAAATCAAAATGGCTCAAGTGCACTTAGAGCATCAACGTCCCCAACAGAGGGTAGAGAAGGCAGCCTGACCCAGCTTCCCGCAGTACTGCTGCCACCAGTCCCAGGGACAGTAGTTGCCCTGGAGGTCTGGCTCCTATGCTGGCTTTGTTTCTGTGACTGAGCTCTGCAGGAGCGACCAGGGAACCAGTGAGCTGGCCAGTCACCCCGCACCTCCCTGAATCACAGTGACATTCTGCCTGGAAGCAGGGGCTCCGAGGAGGTGACTTCTCGAAGGGTCAGGCCAGCCCCATGATTCTGTAATCTTTGCCTTACCATAATTAGGGAGGGAGGGAGGCAGAAGAGTGGGGAAAGAGCCCATTTATTACTTCTGCAGGATCTGACAGCTTGGAGAAAGAGAGCCAGGCAGAGCAACAGCCAGCAGAGCCAGGCAGGGCGGGTTTAACCTCTTGGTAAAATCTGAAGGAGCTCAAGGCACCTTGTCAGCATTGACTCTTTTGTCAATACTTGGGCCCATCTCCATGAACCCGAGCTGCTCAGCTAATGACAACGGCCCACACAATCGGTAATGAACGCTGAAAAATCCAAGTGGCAGAAGGGTGTGTGTGTGTGCGTGTGTGTGTGTGTGTGTGAGAGAGAGAGAGAGAGAGAGAGTGAACACGGGGTGACGACCACCCCACTACTCATCTATGACTGCATATAAAAGTACAGACAGTCCCCCACCCCCAGCCCTGAGCTTCAAGATGAAGAATCCAGCCTGTTTGTTCCAGGCAGATGTAATCACACGAACAGTCAAGTCTAGAGGGCAGGACACTGCATGAATAATTCAAGCACTCCAGTCACTTGATTGTATGTGCAGATAAAACACCAGTCAACCGCTAAACAGGTCAGCTGATAAACTTGTTTGCTCAGGCCTAACCACCATCCGCCAAATGCACCCAAGACCAACACTACAATTAGTGGCAGGGTTTCATCGCAGAAAGAACCTCTCAAGCCAGCCAGCCAGCCAGCCAGCCAGCCAGCAGGGGAGTGGCCGGCCCATTAGGTCAGGGTTGCATTTCTCAGGGCCTGGTTTCTTCACCTCCTGGCCTCTTTGTTCCCGCACAGCCACAGGGCGATTGCAACCAAGTCAGATATTGCCAGGACAGACAGACACACACACACTCCCTTGCTCGGAAGCAAATGGAAACAACTGCAGGGCTGGAGGCAACCATGGGTGGCAGACAGGATAAAAGCACCCACTTTGGGAACCCAGGAGCCCAGACTGGAGCCTCAGCTCTGCACTCCTGGCCCTGAAGCCTCCATTTCCTCCAGCACAGGAACCCTCTGTCTGCCTCCCGCAGCTGAGACGATGGACCTCAGGCACCTCACTAAGCACCCAGTTTGGGGGATGGTGAGAAGTCCCCAGTGCTCATAGCTGTTCTTCTACAACACCCCTGACACACACACACCACCACCAAACGCAAGAAGCTGGTCAACTCTTACTCGGCCCCATAGTGTCCCCAGGATATAGGGAAGAGCTTTGCTGTGCCAGCCAGGGTGGATTCCTTGTGCCACGTCACCATCCACTCGGCCCTGTGCAGACCTGGGGCACACCACCCGTGAGCATTGCAACATGCAATGGCACGTTGGACCTTAATTACGCAGCTCTTAGAATAATTGCCGCTGTAAATTTTAAACCTGGGTGGAATTACCCTCTTTAAAACACACCCAAGATATTAAGCACTCTCAGAAAAGGCGAGGGGGGGTAGAGAAAGACGATGGTGACACCTTGCACAATCCTTAAGCCTCCCTGAGCACCTGAGCCCCCAGCCTCTACAACACATGCGTGCACGGGGCTAGTCTGTCCCAGGCAGTTTTCCCCAAAGTCGGGCAGAACCTGTTTCTCTAGTCCATTGCCTCAAGAGGGTCCATCTGGACATACCAAGCGAGATCTGTTTAGTTTCTGTGGGTAAGAAGCAAAAACTGTGGTGGCCTTCAAGTGCCTTCCTAAAGCATAATCCCCCATAAGCCACAAGCTGGCTGCGCACATTGACCCATAAAGCCAAGCTCCTTTCTGGTTTGCCCTTCGCTCAACACTGGAGCTCCCCACCAGGAGCAAAAAACGGGTCACACCTGCCCTGGGCCCACCCTCCTACCCTGTAGAAAGCAAAATTTAAACCTTGTAAACAAATGTTAATTTAGAGCAGAAAATCTATTCAAGTCAAGGTCCCCAAAGGCTAGGATGAGTCAAGGGCCTTCTGAGGTTTCAAGAACACCAATTGTTAGAGAACCACCAGCCGGCACCATTTACTGGGGCCAAGTCCACTCCTGCGGCTGGTTGAGCCCAATTACAGGCAGCCTCTCCTAGGAACACAGATACACAAACAGGCCTCTCCCACAGCCCAGCCCCAACCAGGACTGGTTACTGATATGCACCCAGATAAAGGGTGTTTGTATTTGCTTGGTTTGAGGTATACTGTTATTAGAATAGTGACAATCCAAGGAGGCTGGCTAGGGATCCATCAAAGGACACCAGGACTTGCAAAACTGGTTTGACTTCAGGATTTCAAAGCTGAGCTCAACTCCCAGCCATCTCCCCAGTCCAGGTGAGGAGGCGGCTGCCCCAGCAAGTTCCTTCACCTCTCCACATTCGCTTCCTTCTCCATGAAATGGACATGCAGCTGCCTCCCAATGAAGATCAAGATAAGAAAACCTGCTCATAAGTAAATGGAAGGCAGGACGAGATGGGTTTCATGCCAGCTTTGTGTTT